AGCAGTGGAGGACAGAGGGTCTTGGAGATGTCTCATCCATAGGGTCGTGATCGACTCGAAGGCAGTTAACAACAACAAAAGGGACACCAGGGGTCATCCAGTCTAGTGCTTCTCAGGCCTTCTCATTGGGAGACTGGCAATTTTTTCCCCAGTGTGACAGAGATTGACACCATATTTATGGCCATTGACTACAATTGTTTTCTTTCTTTCTTTTCTGGGAACTTACTAGGGTACAGCATCCATTGGGATCGGGGATTAGCAGTGGTCCAAGGACCACTGCTTTGAAGAACACTGATCTAGTCCAAACCCCTGGCAATGCAGGAATGCATACCTAAATGGAATAACAGAACTACAGACCTGAAAAGGACTCCAAGGATCCAAAATGCAAGAGGGCAAAAAGACTTATTTAGAGCAAAATGTCATATTAAATTTAGTGCTTTGGAAGGTGATGATGAAAAATCTGGCTCATGCCAAGAAGTTTTGCAGCACAAGCTAATTCGTTATGGATGGCCACCTATCAGGACTGCTGTAGTGGTGGATTCCCTACATTGGCAGAGGGCTAGATTAGATGAGCTTGGAGGTTCCTCCTAACTCTTATGATTCCCAAATAAAAGGTCACCTTCTTTAGGAACATGATATTGACTTATTGATGTTGACTCAGGCCATGGATCTGCATAGGTCAGGGCACCCAAAGGAGGTTTCCTAGACCTTAGAACAGGGGTAGGCAACCTAAGGCCCGGATGTGGCCCCCCGAGGCCTTTGGACCGGCCCCAGGCCGGTCCTGCTGCCCCCCGCCGCCCCCCATGATGATATTGATTATTGTTGTTATTACTTGTTCTTGGGGTTTTCTTGGCAAAATCTCCACAGGGGTTTTGCCATGGATTTTCTGGGGCTGAGAGAGTGTGCATGCATATTTTTTTAATTTTTTTATTTTTTAATATATATATATATATATATATATATATATATATATATTTAATTATTTTTGGTGCTTCGGTCCCCCAGTTGTCTGAGGAACAGCAACCTGGCCCCCGGCTCAAAAAGGTTGCCTACCCCTGTCTTAGAACAATGGCCATGACTGAACCTGTGATTTCCTCCTGTAGTGTAGAAATGATGCAGCTTGACACCACTTTAAGTGCTGTAGCTCCATCCTATGGGATCCTGGGATTTGTAGTTTTTGAGACCTTGGCAAATCACACTCTCTCAGCCTCAAGGGAAGGCAACAGCAAACCTCCTCTGAACAAATCTTGCCAAGAAAACCCCACGATAGTTGGAAATGACTTGAAGGCGAGGACAACAACAAAGGTCCTTCACCTTCTCTGCCAGACTGCTGGTGCCTCACCAAACTACAAATCCTATGCTTCCATAGGATGGAGTCATGGCAGTTAAAGTGGGGTCAAACAGCCTTATTTCTACTCAGTGGTTCCCAGACTTTGGTCTTCCAAATGTTTGGACTTCAGCTCCCATAATTCCAAAATGTTAGCCAAGCTAGCTGGGGATTCTGGGAGCTGAAGTTCAAAACTTTCCCCCCTCCTTTTTTTTTTTTTTTTGGAAAACTTTTAATAAACTTTTAAAATCGTTTAATTGCATTTTTTTTATATTTCTACATTTTAATGGTGTACTGTTTTTAAAATCGTATTGTTTTAAATTTCCTATATAGGAGTCCCTATATTGGGAGAAAGGCGGGATATAATAAAAATAAAATAAAATATTAGTAACAACAACAACAACAACAACACTGTAAGATGCACTCTAAATGCCTCCAAAAGTATCCCCTGAAACTATCCACAAACCTTTGGGCCCCCTTCCAGAGTTGGGCAAAGGGGGATGGATCCCTTTGGATCAAAATTCCCACCATGGCTGCAGTGGTAGTGGGGGAATGGGGATTCTGGGAATTGCAATCCCAAAGGGCCCCCCTGGGGGACTTACCAGGGTCTCGTGCTGTCTCTTGAGGCCTCCTTTCCAAAGGATGTCCAGGAGGCTGCCCATGAGCGGCCATTTGGTGGGGCCCGGCAGAGCGGAGAGCGAGTGAGGGGCCGAGGGGGGCCGAGGGCAGACGGCGGGAAGCTCCTGGGCCTTGGGCTCCAGGGCGCA